AAAAAAAAAAAAAAAAAAAAGGCTTTATAAATGAACATCAGATGATCCTAAAGGAAACAAGGGATAACTAGAAGGTCTACAAGAAGTCTGCAGTGAAGATAGGAAAAGAGATACATAAGCATCAGAAGGTATCAGAACTAGTTGCTACTTAGAGAAAGGATTTGGGTAATTCGGTTCAAGTCAGAACAAGTTATTCTCATTCTTTTAAATGACCTTAAATAACAGATACTGAATTTGGGAGAAGACATAAATAACTAAATATTGCTTCATCAAAATCCATTATTGGATTTTTTGCCCATAAAAAAAAAAATGAAAGAAAGTCTACAGATCAATGTCTTGAATGACTGCCCACTCCTTTTACCAGCTCTTTTTACTATAAAAAAATTAAATCAGCTCTTCAAGAAAGGGGCTTGAAATTACTGGTCTTATAAGGAGCCAGGAATTAGAAATGTTTCTATTCATGAAGACTTTGTTCTACCCAGGAAAATATAACAATTATAATTACAAGAAAGTTTTTTTTAGAAGTAGTGTGAATAAATATGTTGATAGCTAGTCTATCATCCAGAGAAGTATTTTGCTGCACTGAGTATCATGAACAGAAGAAAAAGTAAAAAACAAAATGCAACCATAGATTGAAAGGTAAAGAGACAAAGTATTTTTGTTATCCACCCCCAAAAAGACAGGCTATAAATAACAGTAGTCATGTCTACATGATATAAAAATATTTGCACAAATTTGCTGACTTTGCCTTAACTACCAGCAGATGGTTTAAAAATCTTCTAGAATAAGGGAATAAAGTCTAAGCATTTTACAGTACATTATGTATAAAGTCTTTAGGTATTTCATTTTGGGTGTGTGAGTCAGGGTCTTATTCTGTCGCTTAGATTGGATGGCAGTGGCACAATCACAGTTTACCACAACCTCAACCTCCTGGGATCAGGAGATCCTGCCACCTCAGCCTCCTGAGTAGCTGGAACTACAGGTGCATGTCACCAAACCTGACTATTTTTTGTTTATTTTTGGTAGAGATGAGGCCTCGCTATGTTGCCCAGGTTGGTCTCAAACTCCTGGGTTCAAGCTAGGTATTTCTTAACTCAATAATATGCAATGATACTTAAGTATAATGGCCTAATTTATATTCTTGATACAGTCCATGCTTATTATTTTCTTTCTAAATGGTGTACAAAAGTTTAGCAGTGGCACAGACAGTGGAAATTAAAAATTGTAAAACAAGCTCTGGATGAAAATTGAATTTGTAAATCTCAAGCAAGGTAAATCTAGACTATTTCACACACATTTACATTTTTTTTTTGAGTTGGAGTCTCACTCTGTTATCCAGGCTGGAGTGCAGTGGCACACTCAAGGCCATTGCAACCTCAACCTGGGCTCAGGCAATCCTTCCGCTTCAGGCTTCCAAGTAGCTGGAACCACAGGCATGTGCCACCACATCCAGCTAATTTTTTTGATTTATTGTGGAGACGAGGTCTCACCATGTTGTCCAGGCTAGTCTCGAACCTGTGGGCTCAGGCAATCCTCTTGCCTCCACCTCTCAAAGTGCTGGTATTACAGGTGTGAACTACCATACCCAGCTGTTATCTACATATTAGTTAGTATTCATTTGTCCTCAATTTTCTTTTTTTCTTTATTTTTTGAGTCAGGGTCACACTGTGTTGCCCAGAATGGAGTATAGTGGCATGATCATGACTCTCTTTGGCCTAAAACTCCTGGGCTAAAGTGCTCCTTCTGTCTCAGCCTCCAAAATAGCTGGGACTACAGGTGAGCACCACCACGTCCAGCTAATTTTATGTTTTGTAGAGATGAGGTCTTGTTATGTTGCCCAAGCTGGTCTCCAACTCCTGGGCTCAAGCAATCCTCTCACCTCGGCCTCCCAAAGTGCTAGGATTACAGGCGTGAGTCACTGTGCCTGGCTTAATTTGTCCTCAATTTTCAAAATCAAGATCAAGTATGACAAGCTCATGTATCAAAGTCAACAAAAGCATTCTGTAGATTGTAAACATCAGTTTCAGATGTTAAAAATCACTGAAATACTTTCATCCATATAATGAAATTGCCTGATCTAAGACATGGGTGGGGCAGAAGCCAACCTGTATACATAGTTCTCTGGTCATTGGGACAAACATTTCAGTGCTCTAGTATGGAATTCTACCCTATATTAGTACCTACCCTCTTATTATAGTATTCAAAATGCTCTGTTACCATTCCCAATTAAAGTGGCATTGATCTGTAGTCTCTCTGGTAGGAGATAAACTTACCAATTTTTTCTTTGAGTTGGAGTCTCACTCAGTTGCCCAGGCTGGAGTGCAGTGGCACACTCATGGCTACCCCAGCATTGACCTGCTGGGCTCAGGCGATCCTTCCGCCTCAGCCTTCCAAGTAGCCAGAACTACAGGCACGTGTTACCACATCTGGCTAATTTTTTATTTATTGTGGAGACAAGGTCTCACCAAGTTACCCGGGCTGGTCGAACCTGCAGGCTCAGGCAATCCACTCACCTCAGCCTCCCAAAGTGCTGGGGTTACAGGCTGAGCCACTGAACTTCCCAATTCTGATAGAAAGGTTTATATTTTTTTCCTTGGATTAGAGTTCAGCCCCATATTATCCCTTGGTAGACAATAATTTCGTAACTGCAACCAACAAGGTAGTCCCCAGCCTTCCACTCTCTAGCCAAGATGCCACACGATAGAAAGTATATCTTTGTGAACAAATATGAAATAATTACTTCTTCTCCCTCCCTGATCCCTTCAGAATTTAGAAACTATTCATGAGTATTCTAATTTTCATGACAATATACTTATTTGCATAAATTCAAAAAAAAAGATGCCACATGATGCCCAGAAAGAGGGAAATTCTCTCTACAACGGTGGCAACAGCTGCCACCAGGAAACTAGGGCATCTCTGTGCCTCCTCTCCAGATGGCACTGATGAACAGGGGTAACCTGGGACATTTTTAATTTGGGGCCCTTTATCATGCCTCTTTCCAAAAACATGTAGCCAATATAGACTTTTCACTATTGATTCTAAACAGAAATGCGTTCATTCCATTTCCAGAACAGCTGTACCTGACACCAAGTTGTATATGGCTCACAGTAATGTCGGAGCTGTGAGATGCTTTCTTCAAGTTGGGACCTTGGCTCGTCCACATATTTAGATTGACCCTCGGGAACTGAGTAGAGAGAAAGCTGCATACATTAAAACAAAAACAAAACAAAAATTAAAAGGTATATACAGTAATGAGATCATACAATAAGTTATTCAATGTATAGGTATAATATTTCTTTCTCTTTTTTTTTTTTTTTTGGTCAGGCTCTTCCTCTGTTGCCCAGGCTAGAGTACAGTGGCATGATCACAGCCCCACAGCCTCAATCGGCTGGGCTCAGGTGGTCCTTCTGCCTCAGTCTTCCAAGTAGCTGGAACCACAGGCGCATGCCACCATGCCCAGCTAATTTTTCTGATTTATTTTAGAGACAAGGTCTCACCATGCTGCTCAGGCTGGTCTCAAACCCCTGGGCTCAGGCACTCCTCTCACCTCCACTTCCCCAAGTGCTGGGATTACAGGTGTGAGCCACCACACTCTGCTTGGGTATAATATTTCTAATAATTCATGACTTTCAGTGATCCTAAGGGTTATATGCAACCTGAACTTTACTTCAGATGATCTTTGTACCTTACTTATTTCCTTAATGGACAAGATGGCAGGGCTATGAGGTGTCCTACCCCTTCCCTAACCACTGAGCTCCAAACAAAGCAGCTCCCCCTTTATCCATTTTATATTCTGGTATTTGGTATTCCACCTTAGATTCAGTTTAGAAAAAAAAGGATTTTATTGTTCTAAGGGGTGTGTGAAGAGGTTAAAAAAAAAAAAAAAGGCTTGAGAGTAACTGAAGAACTGAAGAGCATGTCACTTAGTTCAAATAACCAGTCAGGCACTAATCAGAGCAGGACAGCAGGTTTGTTACCCACCCAGAGAAGAAACTTTTCACAGCCACTACTGACTGCATTTTTCACCCTCAAAAATGCCACTGTCCCAAGGCCTGAGAAGAGAGTAAAGGGCAAAAGATAAGCTAGTTAGCTTTATGTAAACACCATTCAAATAACACTGCCCAGGAATGATGGTAGACCTTTTTTCAAAAGCAATAGAAACTGAATGTCTAAAATAATCAGTGGGGCCAGGTACACTGGCTCATGCCTGTAATTCCAGCACTTTGGGAGGCTGAGGTGGGAAGATTGCTTGAGCCCAGGAGTTCAAGACCAGCCCAGGCAATATAGTGAGACTGCTCCTCTACAAGAAAACAAAAAATTAGCCAGGTGTGGTGATGTGCATCTGTAGTCCCAGCTACTCAGGAGGCTGAGACAGGAGGACTGCTTGAGCCCAGGAGTTCGAGACTACAGTGAGCTGTGATTGTTCCACTGTACTCCAACTTGAGCAACAGAGTGAGACTCTGACTTAAAAATAGTAATAGTGGGAAGTTCAGACAAAAAAGAATGTAAACAATGGGGAGAAGATTTTTTGTTTTATGTATTTAGTATTTATTAAGTACCTACTTATTAGCCTTTATTTCACCCAAGAAACAGAAAGAATCTAGATCTCTAATTTCTTAGAGTGGGAAAAATATGAATATTTTCTTGCGTGATAAGAATCAAGATAAGCCAAGAATCAGGGAGGTTACTTAGAAGAGTTAGCTGTGTTATAATCTGCTAGGACACAACAGATTCCTTGCTAAAAATCTATAAAATATTCCTTAATTATGCTCTTAGCTAAGTACCATTAAAGGTTATCTGTTGACAAAGCCATAGTTTGGTAACATCTCACAAATTGAACAAGCTATAAGTAAATATATTCCTCCCTTTAAATGTCTTCTAAATGTCATATCTTCTGATACACAATTTGCAAAAACTCCCACTAAATCAGACATTCAAAATGTCACATGAACAGCATGTTACCTCATCAACCTTCACGGGATTTTTAGGAGGTGAGTCCTTTTTTGGTGCTGCGTAGACTCTGAAGGTAAGCAAGCTCAGGCTGGCTGGCCCCACAGACCTCTGAATTACCTGAAACGCAGAAGCAATCTTAAACCTTCTCTCTAGGCTATATATGGAATGTGCAGAATGAGAGCATATTCATACCATTAGCCAATCCTTGCTTTGAAAGGCTCACTGTGCTTTATGAGAAATAAATGCATTCCTGAAGTTCTGAGGAAGTCAGAACCTAAAAAAACATGTCCTCATGGACTTAAAATTTCAGGCCAACTTTATCTTAATTTCCAAAAGACATTAGTTCCTAAGTTTGTGTACTTAGCCTTTTGAATAAAATAAAAGATATCCCTATCTATCTATCATCTATCTATATCTCCCTTTGGAACATGTCTAAAACCAACTTATCATCTTTCCCTCCACCTGTCCCTCTTTCTCTACTTATTATCTCAGGAATTATGTTACCACTCAACTAGAAAATTCCATCAGAAACTCCAAAATCACTTAAAATCTGCTCTTTTAGTGGTTTTTCAAGAATACAATATACTGTTATTACCTATAGTCACAATATTATACTATAGATCTCTTGAACTTATTTCCTGTTAACTGGAATTTTCTATCCTTTGATTAACAACTAACGTCTCCCCAATTTCCCCACCTCCAGCCCCTAATAACCACCTTTTTACTCTCCTCTTCTATGAGTTCAACTTTTTAAAAGTCTACAAAGATGTTTATGTTAATTAGCTCAATTTAGCCATACCACAATGTTACACACTTCAAAACAGCATGTTGTATGCACTAAATACGTACAATTCTTACTTGTCAATTTAAAATTAATTAAAAAGAAACTGAGATCATTATCACCACCACATTCATCCTATTGGTCACTGTGTCCTGCAAATTCTGCCTACTAAATTAACTCAGTTCTACTTTCTCTTCTTCATTCCCTCCAGTACAGTATTTCCATCATTACTTTCCCGGGTTAGCAGCATCCTAACTGGTCATGTGGCTCTCTAATGACTCAAACCACCACACTGAGAAAGAATGACCTTTCTAAACTGCAAACTTGATTCTATATTCTATCCTTACTTGAGATCCTTTGTTATTTATTACCTAGGACTTTCAAGTGAGCCAAATAAGGCCTGCTATGCTCTGGCCACAACCACCTTCTCTAACCTCATTTCCCTGTCATTCTGTTCCCTCCCACAAAACTTGAACTCCCTATATTTCTCCCATGCTGTGTCCCAGCTTTGTGGCTTCGCTTATGCTGATTCCTCTAAAATATCCTATACTTACTTTGCCTTTCTGTTGAACTGCATAAGAGCAGTGAGAATTCATTCTTTTGTTTTTGTATTTGTCCATTTATGTATATCTATCAAATTCTCCCTACCATGTTGGAAGCCCTTTTAGGATGAGGCTGCATCTGACTCCATAATCCCATTTCTATGGTTACCATAGGAAACACTCAATAACTGTCTTATTGCCTGCTCCAATGAGACAAAGGAAATGGAAGAGAGGTGAAAAATAAATGAATGATCGATCTTGTTTTAATGATGTAAGCATGATTTAGCATCATAGAAATCATATTACTGAGATTTGCAGTGCCTATAATGTGAAAGACTAGGCTATTCAGTAACACTCACAAAACATATAATGCTAGTTAAAATATAACAAAAATGTGTATTGAAATGTATGCCTGAGTCGGGCTCAGTGGCTCAGCCTGTAATCTCAGCACTCTGGGAGGCCAAGGCAAGTGGATTGCCTGAGCCTGTGGGTTTGAGACCAGCTCAGGCAACTTGGTGAGACCTCGTCTCTACAATAAATCAAAAATTAGCCAGGCATGGTAGCACATACCTGTAGTTCTGGCTACTTGGAAGGCTGAGGCTATGGCAGAAGGATTGCCAGAGCCCAGCAGGTCAATGCTGGGGTGGCCGTGAGCATGCTACTGCACTCCAGCCTGGGCAACGGAGTGAGACTCGGACTCAAACAAAAAAGAAAAGAAAAGAAAAGAAAAAGAAAAAGAAATGTATGCCTGAGACCAGGCACAGTGGCTCATGCCAACATTTTGGGAGGCTGAGGCAGGAGGACTGTTTAAATCCATGAGTTCGAAACCAGCCTGGACAACATAGCGAGATCTCATCTCTATAAAAAAAATCAAAAAGTTAGTTAAGTGTGGTGGAGCATGCCTGTAGTCTGAGCTACTCGGGAGGCTGAGGTGGAAGGATCATGTGAGCCCAGTTCAAGGTTGTAGAAAAGCTG